TACGAGGTATCAATGTAATCCCTATGTGTCTTTCTTGTACGCATCACTTAGATTGTATAACAATTAATGAAAACCTTTAGAACATCATTATTCAAATTATTAAAAATTATTCTAAATGAATTTAATACATACATGCATGCATACATACATACATACATACATACGTATATAAACACATACATACATATATACACACATACATGCACGCATGCATTCATACCTTGCTCGAAGTGCCAAAAGAAATGTTTCTTATATGAAGCGAAAATTTGATATAATTTTTTTATTAATGGAGAAATTACTTCGGCTCTTGGTATTTATAATAATATTTAAAAAATAATTTTAGACATAACAGTTATGTTGTTAATGATGCAACTTTTGCAATGCTTGCATTATGGACAGCTGCGTGACGAGGAGATGCCTGTGGTTGAGTGTGGTGGTGTTGGTGGTGCTGGTGGGTTGCTTTTGCCTGCAGCTGACCAAGTAACCGAGTTTTTGCGGCAGCTAGTGTTACAGCGGCTTAGCTGTGGGAAGGGGGGGAGCTGCTGAGCACGTAACAGGCAGGTTGCCTCATGGCAAAGGGAAAATGCATAAGTGAAAATGTGCACGCTTTTCTTTGCTGCGCTTTGGTATTTTATGAATGAAAAGGTAATTTTACACTCAATTGCGTGACATGCGGGTGGCGCTCATATTTCCAACAATGAGCGCACAGAGAGCTGTTGCTGCCGCACATTGCTGCTATCAACTCCTCAGCTCTTGAGCAATCATCATTCGCTCTATTTGCAGTGCATTGATAGGTAAATTATCTGAGTTGCATAAGTTCATAATTAATCTTTTTCATTTCGGATGCTGCTGTATGTTTGTAGGCGCACCTTGAGCGAATCCTTTCACTGTGCTTATTACATTCACTTTTCGTCTCTGGCAGCAAATGGCATTCACTTGACCAGGTCTAAAAACAAACAAGCATAACAGTTCATTGATCATGGCAGCTGATCGCTTGTTTGTGCTACCTACCTGCTCTTTGTCGATGTCTCGTTAAAATTGGCGGAGTTTCTGTTTTTTTTTTTTCTTTTTCGGTTTAGTTTCTGTTTCTGTTGGCCGGCAGCAGAAGTCATTAACGGTTCAACCACACCTGACTCTAGAGTCAAGTTAGACGCCAATTTGTTGCCGAGCAGCAAAAGCTTGTGATTTGTTGAGTGTGGTTGCTTTTGATACGATTTCATGTTTCTGCAGCTCCTGCTGCTGCTGCTGCCTTTTACAAAACATTAACCCAAAAATATTACTCATACGCCATGTGTGCGCCAGTTGAAAAGAACATGAGAAACATGAACGTTTTTTTGCAGCTTACTCGTTGTCAGCTGCTCGTCATGCAGCGATCACTTAACGTTTATATACCAGTAAACGACCAACAACCAGTGTCATAACTTTGAAATTTTACAAATGCAGGCCTAAGTTTACATTGAGATGTGTTAGCGATGGGGAAATGTGCTTCACGGAATGTGATTTTTAGTCCTATTATAATTTTTATAAACTGCAATTAATGTAAATTAATTTGAATTTTTGCTTTGTCATATAATAACAAGTAAGAACGTTGCAGTCGGGCGTTACCGACTGCGGAATACTCATTCACATCCCATCAACAATTTAGTAGTTAAGTTTCGTTCTAATACTGTAGAATATACAGGTTTTTCCGATTTGCCACGCCCCAACTGGGCGTAGACACCTCATTTTTGGTCAGTTTTTAGAAAGAGATAACGTTACCCTAACTGCAAAGTTTGAATGCTTACCCTAAAAAAATGTGAAAATTACAGGGTATTTTTCGATATGCCACGCCCCTAAAGAGGCGTAAAAATTATTTTTGGGGAATCGATAGAGGAGGCTACCAGTAACTCAACTATCCAAATTTGAAGCTTCTAGCTATTATACTTTAGGAGATATAAACTTTTGCGGTTTGCCACGCCCCCTGTGGGCGGACATATATCCGACAAAACTTTTTGGTCTTGGGTGATCAGTCCGAGTATATATACAAAATTTGAGGTCTCTGCCATCAATAGTGTCCAAAATATAGGAGAATTNATACATATTATATAAAAGAAAATAGAAAATATTTTCATTCCAAAAATCCTTAAACAACTTTCTTTACTATCCTTTTGACATGTTTTCATATATATCGATATATATTTCATTACAAGCTTTTAGCTTTATTATTAAAATAAACTTTGCTAGTCTTTCAAAGTTTTAACTCATTGAGAATTACGAAGCTTCTCAAAAGAAACCAACTAATTTTTCATTTTATTAGTGAATCTCTATATTTGCTTCTAGGAACAGAATACAGTTGGACATACATTTGAGTACTTATATACTTATATACTTATATCTAAGGTGGAACATCGGGTGATACACATTTGTATAAATATCTAACAGATCTAGATATTTATACAAATGTGTATCACCCGATGTTCCACCTTAGATCTTCTTTTCATTTGGCGCTATTCGCATCCTCCAATAGAATTGATACCTTTTTGCCACGCTGTATAGAAATTAAAACTCTTTTGAGTTTTCTATATTCCACAATAACCTTAAATATTAATATTTTATGGCTACTCATCAAAGTCAATATTACAATTACTAGTTGAGACTACCCTTATTTGTTGATTGGCTTACAATTTATCGTAAATGATTCTTTGTAAAAAGTCTTTAGCTCAATCAAACCTCTCCTATGCACACTAAGATTGAAAATAATTTTCCTTTAATTAAACCACATTTTTAGAAGCCAATCTGAACATTGTTCAAACTCCATTTATCTTATTCAGTCAACATTTTTGCTAGGATTTTATGTCACGCGCTCATCTCTAAGGCCACATTTTTGCGCTTTCGTGAGTTTTGACGTAAAGGCAGCTGCTGCTGTGGGCTGCTGTCATTCGGATTGGCCAAAAAGTGAGCTGTTTTTTGGTTGACTGATGTTGTTGATATTGTGCCATGGAACTGGCTAACAGGCACTTGTTGTTGTTGCCGGCTCTGTGTCGCGGCTAACTCGAAGTCGCAGCTGCTTATTATTTATATTATTTTTGGATTTTGTGGCCTGCAGTTATTTGTGATGAAGTCCCATTTTGGCGCATGCAGCGAAGGCCACGATATGAAAAGTTATATTAACCAAAATTGCATATCGTTGGCTGATTTGATTTGTTTGCGCTGCGCCAAGCCAGGCCAGGCCAGGTGAAAGTCAGCTGTGCGGTTTGGCAAGACTTGATTGAGATGTCTCCATTCTTCGGGTCAATTATTTACGGCTAATGTCTTTACGCACACACGAATACAAAGCTGGGGAAATTATCTAAGCCGATAACTCACGCTTACATCATAAGCGCTGAACTTTCGGGCATTTGGGTTATTTGACGGCATTTTCTATCTGTTCACACCAGCTAATGCAACTGGTCAATAGCGAATACAACGGCAACCATATTCATTGTTCACAATTTTCCAATTGTCGTCTATAAAGCACACACGCAAACACACACACACACATACTCACTTTGCTTTATCGGCTGCTCAATCGTTGCAGCTACAAAACGAGCTGCACATATTTTAGCCCCGGTTCATTATCGTCTTAGCTGTTTCGGCTGCGAATGCAGCGTCCGCTCAAATCAACCGGCAGCCATCTCTCAATTGTTGCAGCAGCACCAGCAGCAGCAGCAGTAGCAGCAGCCCCAGCCTCAGCAGCTGTTAACCAAATACTATGCTCATATCTACAAATGACAATCGCTCGACTTATTTGTTTAATTAACTAACCGTACGAAAAAATAAAAGCCGCCTTTAAAATATTTTCGAAAAAGTTTCTATAGCCGGGCTCAACCGGGATTTGAACCCGGGACCTCTCGCACCCAAAGCGAGAATCATACCCCTAGACCATTGAGCCGCATGTTCGAACGGCAGCCATCGCCAAAACATTTGCTATGGCCAATGCTGGCGTTTTGGCCACGTTTAGTTTATTTTTAGGCACTGCATGCAGCAGCCAAAAGTTTGCAACAGTTTTCAGTGGCAACAACATGAATTTCTGTGCGCCTGCAGATAGGCAATTGGATTATTGATATGAAGATGCGGGATGCTGAGAGTCGTCGACTTTTTATCCATGGAAGGATATTACATCATCATTATTCATGGGATGATATATGTCTTGGGTAATTTTGGTAATCTTTTGCCACAAATAGTTCTCTTAATATTTAACCATGAAGTGAATGCTTAATTTAGTTATATGAAAGCGGCTATAGAGTTATAGATCTAGCTTTAGTATTGACAATTTACAAAAATATATATGGACGTTGCTTTTGCAGATGAATCTCCTTTGAACTTGTTTCTGAACAATATATAGCAATAGTTTGTTTATTAAGTTAAAAACTCTTTGCTATAAATTACTAAAAAATCCATAAAAAAAAAAAAAAATAAAAATTAATAAAATATTTCCCACTAAAGTTAATACAAACTATTGAAAGAAAAAAATCATTTTTTTTTTACTTAGGAATAATTTTTATTTTAATCAAACTAAGTCTATGTATATACAAAATTTTACATTTACAGCAAATACTAAATGTAGTAATCATATGTATATGAAAATATAGCTAAACATGAAAATGCTTGACGATTAACTATAATAAATGTATCAACTGTATTTATCTTATATTTTTATATTTTTCCTTTTATTTGCCTTAATATTTAAAAGCTTATATATTTTAACTTTACTGATTTTTTATTATATTTGAGATATTATATGCCGTTGCTTAACGAAATTTAGTTTTGTCATTTATTTTGATTTCAAAGAACTTAAAATTGAGTTGTTTTTATATAGATATATATATTTATATAGAGAGCTCCATAATTTTGTCGGCTTGTTGTTTGAAATATTTAATACAAAATATCATTTTATATACTCTATATATAATTTTAATACATTTAATAAGTTGTTCCCTGAACTCAATTAGATCAGTTTTTATATCTTTTAAAAGTTCTCAAGCCAAATATTTTGATAAAAAAAAATTAAGTTAAAACTTAGCGTGTTTAAGGAGTATAAATTTGCAGCACACTTTGACGCTTGAGAAATAAACTAAACGCGGTCGAAATCTAATTGAGAACAACCATTTATAAATCATGATAGCAGCACAAGCATGTTCGTGGCATAAACACTGAAATCTAAGCACTAATAGTTGTTGACAAACTATGTTTAAAGTCTATATACGTAAGATCTGTGCAGRCAGCTGCTGCTGCTTAAGTGAATATATCTTCGACCAGCTGCTTGGTGATGATGCGATGTGGTCGAGTTGGGTTCACCTTGGGGCGCTGATAGAGCCGTGCATTGATCGCATAGAGCCGGGGCGAGAGATCGCAGCGTACATTGAACCACCAATCGCAGACGAAGACCGCCTGGGAGAACTGGGTGCCATTGGGGCACAGAAACGAGGCCTGACGTCCATCAATGTCGCAATAGTGCCAGCCTGTCAATATAAAGCGTTAGAACTATGTATTATAGAGGCGGAGAAAGAGTGGGAGGGAGAGTGATAGACAGAGAGAGGGATGGAGAGAGTTGTAGGAGCTACTCACCCTGGCATCTAGTTTCCATGTCCGCAAAGAAACCCGGATAGGATTGTTCGTCACAGTAGAAGTTCGTATAGGGTATGGCCGATAGTATGGGATAGTCTACGCCGGGTCGACCTGAAAGATTATTTGGTGATTGCAATTAGTGCTGGCGAAAATAAACAAACCATCTTGTTTGTTTCCAATCAATTTCAATTCATGTGCCGTTATATCTTTTTTTGTTTTTTTTTTTTTTTTTTTTTTGTTTACTTCAAGGAAAGTGCAGCTGCAAAAACGCACATTCAAACCAGCTTCCTGCTGCAGCTCCCCTCAAAAAATGTCAAATGCACGCACGCACCCAGCCCGGCCGTATGCAAAACAACAAAAATAAAGCGTGTCGTATGGCTGGCATAAACAAATCTGACATGCACCGGCGGCTCCACCGACCCGGCGTGACCCCACCGTCACTCGCTAATAAATGAATTTACGAGTAGCTGCACTTCTGTGCCAAATTTTCCATTCGAAAAATAATTTAAAAGGTTTTTTTTATTTGTTTGGTCGAAAAACGCATTTTGCAACTGAAAATGAAAACAAGTTGTGCAGTGAGAGCTATTGACTAGTTGATATCCCGTATTTTGTTATAACAACTTCTATATATGTTAAAACTGATATTCCGAATTTCTTTCCTCGTGGACTCTCAGAAGATTTCAATTTCTTAGTTACTTTTGACAATATGTCTCTACTCTTTTCGTTTCACTTCAAGAATAATGTTTAGCTGTTTAGCTTGAAATTTGAGCAAAGCAACAACAAAGAAATTATATATAAATTGTTATTTCGTATGACAATATTATTAAACTCATATTTCAGATCTATTGCCTGTCAATTCAATGTATCTTATAAAGAATCTATTGAACTTGACATAGTTCTAAGCTTAAAACGCTCTGCAATAGAACAGAAATATGACTCAAATTTGGAATGTAATTGCAAGCAGCCTGCTCTAAATCAATGTATAACAAAGACAACAATAATGAAATAAATTAGAACTGAATTTCTGCTACATTTAGCTGTATGAGATAGATCTATGGGATCTGTAGATCTTGACCCAGTTCTAAACTGAAAGCTGCATCAGGCAAGCATCGCTATCAAATTCTACACAGCTCCAAAATACTTTTACTTTTACTTTTGCGCAACCCCTAATATACCCACTTTCAATGTCTACAGGGTATTGCAATTCAGTGTTGACAGCGTGTTGTCCTCTCCAGCAGCTCGGCTGCCTAATTTTGGGCAGTGCTCGTGTCGTGGGCTTAATGACGGCCAGTCGCGCATATTGATGGAGTTGTCAGTTGTAATGCTCACCCGGTATTGATTTGCCCAACTCCAGATATTCGCGCACTGATGGACTCAAAAAATTGTCGGGTATTTCGGGCAGATCCTTTTCCTGGCTGCCGCTCTCCTCATTCTCTAGATCCTGCTGTGGCTCTGGCTCAAAGTTGACGGGCTCCGGAGCGCGCGGGCGTTTGGTGCGCTTCGAGCGTTCCGTTTCACGGCAATCTACGGGAAGCGAAAAATATATTCATAAATATGTATTTATATATAGATAAATATAGCCAACATGAAATGTAATTAACTTGAATGAACCAAGCCCCAAAAGCTAAAGTTCAAGGCTGCAACAACAGTTACGGGCGTTGCAAATCGCATTAATGTCAAGATTATAATTTGGGTTTCGGCCGCACCCGCATTTGGGGCCATTAGCTTCAACTCAAACTCGAAGTCGAATTCGAACTCGAGCTCTAGAGCTAGAGCACAGCTGTCATCTGTGGCTCAACTCTAACCTCTGGCTCTGACCCGCTTCTGTTGCAGCAACATTGTGCAACACGTTCTCATGTTGTGCAACATGTTGACATGTTGCTGTCCTCTGACGTTCGTTTTGGCTATTGACCTTGTAGCTTCTTTTTGAAAATACTTCAGCTAACTGATGCTRCTGCTGCTGCTGGCTAGAACGTTGCCACGTAATTGCTTAATAACCATTTGCTTTTGTTGTTGCTGTTGGTTTTTCTACGCTCATTAGCTTAATTTGCAGCTGTGGCTAAGCAAACAGCGATGCTCGTTCGCTTCCTCTATTTGCAGCAGCAGCCCACACGGTGACAGGTATTTTGCATGATGTCTTTGCCTTCAAGCCGCGTCCGTCCATTGGCCCGTTGGCTCGAAACTTGTTCTCAATTTCATTCTACACTTCGCGCAATTTATGCACGATATTGGCGGTTGTAGCAGTTGTTGTAATTGTAATTGACCTTAACCTTGTTATAGTGTGTGTCTGATATATATAAATATATATATATTTTTGGTCGATTCTCAATTCTTGTTGTGGTTGTGTAGCTGTCGCTTACTTTAAATGTCGTCATTCAAGTCGAGTGTAGACTGTCGACTGTGTATGAGTATGTTGCTGCGTGTGCGTCTGTGTGTGTGYGCGTATGTTGCGCAACTGCCTTCATGCCGCAGGCATATGAAGGGCAGCTGTCCCTTGAAAAGGCCGACATAAACATAATTTTCATTTTAAACTCTATATATGCATGCCAACAAGATTTTTAGCTTGTTAAGCAAAAAAAAAAAAAAAAATTGCTGCACCTCCTTAAAAATGATTCATAAGATTCATTCTTCTATCCCTTTAATTTTATTTTTTTTATTATTTGTATTTATTTTATTTTGCTGGTTTTCTTTATATTTCAAATTTTTGTTATTACTTAATTAATGATATATTAATTTTTTTTATTTTTATTTTGTGTGTAGTCACATCATTTATTTGAGGAATTTTGTTTCCTCTAGTAAAAAACATACATATATATAATTGCGTATTGGCAAAATATACGGAAATCTTGTTTCAATAGAACTTGGAAGCTCATCAATCTTTATTGCGAAAATTTCAGTCCAAATTTACCATACTTCAATCAATTCGATATAGTTGAGATTTTTATCAAAATTAAATTTTTGTTTTCAAAAAGAATTTTTGCTTTTTCAATTAAAAAAAAAAAAAAAAAACTTAATTTTAAATAAATTTATTCATTTAAGTTCAATGAAAGCTTTCAATGTTAATCCAAGTATGTAATTTGACTTAATTAATATATTACCTTAGAAAAAGTATACAAAATAATTAACTGTCAAAACTTTGTAAGCAGTAATGTATTTATATTATATAAAAAAAAAAAAATTAGTTCATTATTTTATTATTTTCTATTTTTTTATTTTTTATTTTGATTCTAAAGCATTGTAACGTAAAGAAAATTTTCACATGAGCCTAACAACTAGGCAATGCACAGCATAAGTCTTTAAAATTAAATAGGGAATGAATAGTAAAATTTAGAAAAATATATTTTACAAAAAAAAAAGCTTATTAAGTTAAAAAGCTAATATCTGTAGCAATTTCAGTTTTAAATTGCTGTCCATTTCTTTGCATCATAATCGGAAATTCATCTTCTGCTACTTAAGGATATTAAAGCAATAATATTAAAGCAGGCACGTTGCAAACCCAATCAGCATAATGCAAGCAGGGAATTGAAAAATCTCTTATTACACACACCTAAACACACACACACAAACGTACACTGTATGTCTGCGACAAATTGCAACATAAAGTGTGTACGTAAAAACGACAGCAAAATTTATTACAAATGAAATAATTACTGCGAAAAACAATCAAATTGTAATTAGAGGCGAGTCGCGAGGCAAACAAAAACCCACAACAGCAGCAAAAGCAGCGACATCCACTGCCACTGCACATGGCACAAAAGCCGACGACAAATTGTGAAGTATGTCTGCTAGAGATATATATCTATATTTATACATATACATATAAACCAATAACAGCTACGCACAGCGCGCCTAATGTCAAAAGTTGTGCGTGGCAAAAAAAAAAAAAAAAGTAAAGAAAAACCAAATAATTTTGTGTCTAATGAAACATTTCGCATGGCGGAACAGATTGGACAGAGAATTGGGCTGGGCTGTCCAGCGGATGCACTGCATCATGGCTGGCTATGGGGCCCACCTCTTTGCTACGTCTGGCATTGGATTAGGTAACCCGATTGTGGAGTCCGGCCTCCTCTATGGCTAGAGCAATCAATATATATGTTATGTGTGGCAAATGCTGGTTTTTCGGTGCACCACGCGACACCACAGCGAACCACACTCTTTGGTGGCTTGTCGTCGCGCGTGTGATTGGGTTTTTTGGTTTTAACAGTCGCATAATTAAAGTAATTGCCATACGCTGCAGCCTGCAACAAATTGTGGCAGCTGCCCCAACAGCTACGCATTTCACAATTGTGTAATTGGCTTTTGCGCTAACTTGGCTATTGATAAAGTGTTTGGCCAGAGCTTATTAGCCAAAGGGTTGCACTCGATTTACCTGTAAAGCACACATTAACATAAATCTCTTCACCTCACTATCTCTCTCTTGCTCTCTGTAGCCTGTCCTTTTATCAGTTTCATTATTCATGTTTTGTTTCCGTCTCGGCTTCCTGCCAGAAGCGCAATTAGGCATCGACTGATTATTGTGCCTGGAGTTGGGCCATTGACAAATTGTTTTTGAAATTTACAGCAATTTCTTGGAAGTATTCATAAATAGAAATTTGTAAATGCTCAAGGGAATAAAACTTCGAAATTATAAACAGAATATTTACGACTGGAAGATTGAAAATTAGTTCACATTTTACTTCAACAAATTAGGTAATAATAAAATATAACTTAACTTGTAATATTTTATTTAAAGATCATATAAATAATCATAGCTTTGCCCCCATAAAAATATCTCTTATCCATAATGTCCTTGTCCCACTCTCACTTCCTCAACAATTTCGTATAATACAGAAGTAGCTTGTAGTTTTTCATTGCAGTATTGACATATCATTAATCAGCTTAGCCCACTTTAAAATATCTCTACTTCACATCCTTGTCCCACACACAGCTCCTAAACAGTTTCAACTAATGCTCTAACTGCGATTTGCTGCAACTGCTTTGGGTTAGTTAAAAGCGCGACTTTTGCCGCCTTCAAATTGTTGATAGCCTCTAACCGCAAATCGGCCCAGTTTGTTAGACGTTATAGGCGTAGCAGTCGGGGGCGTTATTTGATACCCTCGATATGAATCAAAAGCTGTTCTTTTCTGTTCAATTCAACTCAATTTAGTGCGGCAATTTGCATTTTTCGGCAACTGTAGCCAAGAAACTTGTTCAAAGCCCATATCAAATGGAAAAAAAATGCGTTCATAATTTTTGACATGGCCGTAAAATATGCTTAAGAGAGTTGAGTTAAAAAAAAGAGAGGGCAGGGGCAAAAGGGAGAAACAGAAATATATAGTGCGCTAGCCAAGACAAAAACAGCCTTTGAGCTATTTGCACGAATCAAAATGAAAATGAAAATGAAAAACTACAAAAAAAACGTTTGTTGCATTGTTTTGGCTGAAATCGTCGTCGCTGAGGTTTGGCCGCCAAAAAAAAAAATGCATTTAGTCGATAGATTAAGGAGCTCAGTCTATACACCCAACATCGAAAAAAAAAAACGTGTGTGTGTGTGTGTAACAAATCGTGACTGCATGAAGTTGCCGTTAAAAAAAAAAAATAGGCCGCAAAAGCTGGCCAAATTCAAGGCACATGCACGTTTTTTAAGGTGGAGCTCGCTGTGATTTTGTTTGCTATTTTTTTGGTATAGACAATATATTACGTATACCCTGTAAAAATAAGTGAACAAAGAAGAAGCGGTTGCTACGTGATATTTGTTTTTGCTATAGATACAAACAAATATTTGAGAGCTGGAAAAGAGCATTTAATTTTCTTAATTGTTGGATTGATTAATTTTTATTTATCGTTTTTTGATTTTTAATATTTGACTTTCTTAAATGATATTGATTAGAAATATTGTTTAGAACTTTTAACCTTGTTTTGAATACAAGTGTAGTTTATTTCTTTAACTAATATCCTGACTTGACGAAAGACATGTCAGATGCTCAAGGATACATAATATAATATATGGATATATACATGTAATATATAATATCCGACATAAATGTAAGTAACCCCAACTAACCTTTGGACATTTCAGTGAGTAATCTGAAGTAACCTTTTTACCATCTGCATAACTGTGAAACAGGATATTTAATAGTCACTTCCCGTCACAGTTTTGTCTGCTGTGTGGTAGCACAGAGTTTAGGGTATATCCTAGTCGGACACTCCTGGTCAGCGCAATCTAGTTTTATTTTATGTTATTTGCTGCGATTTTAAAGCTCAGGCATTGATTATGCTAAAGTACACACTTGATTGGATATGGGCACATATACATGCATGCCTATATACATGTATATACATATATATTCCGGTGTTATCGATATTAAAGAGAGCTTATTTGCCGTTGCGCCCACCTGGCTGCGCACTTGTGTGCGTGTGTTTGTGTTTGGTGGGGGGGAAGGCGCAACAGGAAATTCATTTACATAATTTTTGTGCTGTCCATTGGCATTCTTTGCGCTTGACTGGGCATTATCCTTTTAATAAGCACACACACACTCGCAGAG